ACTCCGAACTGTGATTCATGGTTGTTTCGTTAGAATTGTCTCTGAATGCAGCATGCTACTGCTGGAAAAACAAAATATCCTCTACTCCACCAAAGAAGTAAAATGATTCAGTTATTTACAGGAAAACAAGCAAAGATTAGAGGGAAGGCTAAAAAGTAAGCAAAGCAATGTTGCCGAAATACGCCCCAAATTTGGGAAGCATTGCTACGTGGAACGCAGAGAAAACAGAACAGTTTTTAATAAAAATCGTCTTTGAAAAGTAGTTCATGCCCTCTGAAAATACTGCTTGGTCATCATGGCAACTACCATGACATAATATTTCTTATTTCTGCTCAAAATCTGTTTAAAACAATAATAACAGAACAAACGATTTGGTGCCACTGCTATAAAAACCAAACCACCACAAAGTATAAAGTTGCACGGTTAACATCAGGCTATTTTATGACAAGACGGATTTTTTTTTTAAAATCTTGTTTTATTTTATTTTGTTTGAAAAAGACAGATGTTAGATCAACGTTTTTGAATCGTTTTACACTCTTCTGCTCACCAGAGCGGTGTTAATATATTGAAAACATCACAGAGCCACAAGAAGTGATATTTGTTTTATTGATAAAACATTTCCCACTATCTGCAGAGGCACCTAAATGGCCTTCTTACATGTTGATAATTAGAAAATAACCAAATCATTCTGCCACAATCAGGTCCAACATGTCTGAAGTGTCCTTAAGCATTCATCAGAGAGCTGCTGTTTGCTCCACGTTATTATAAGAGACCCCCGGAGAGCGTCACGGAAAACCACTGATTGTGTCCCTTTAATGTGTCCCAAGGCTGCGATCGATGCTAATGAAAGAGCAGTCACTGTGGACAATGTGTGAGAGGGTCTTAACTGTGCTGTGTGTGTGTGTGTGTGTGTGTGTGTGGAGCAATGTCGGGTTCATCTCGAGGTCAGGGTCAGTCACGCTCATAAATGGGGGTGTGGTTTTAAGAAATGGCTCATTGACCAGGTCGTTGGGTGAAGGGTCAGGGGTCAAGGGGGCGGCGCTCAGAGTGAAAACACTGACCAGGCCACGGGGTTCGTCAGAGTTCAAAGTCGTAACTCACAACATTACAACCTCTCTCTCTGTCCGCTCTGACCACTGCCGGCCTTTATTCGGCCTGTGTTCTTCTGCACGCCTCAACACCAATCAGTTCAAAAGATCACTTTTTTTATTTTTACACGACATTGCATTTTCATTCTGCTGATTTTAGCAGCTCACCAATCCGTATCAGTATTTGCACACACGTTGACCAATAAGAAACAAGATAGTGTTGTACAGAAATGCCAAATATACAGAATGTGTGAGTCTAATTTAGCTTATGCCATTAAATTGTAATATTCAAATAATAACCAAATAAATAGATCAAATTTAAGGGATTCTTATCTTTTCATGTTATTTTTTAGGAATTAGCTATAAAGTACTTTTGGGCTCAAAAGTACTTTTGGGCTCACCGACCTTTCTTAAACAAGTTTTAATGGATTTGTATAATTCAGTTGTCATTCTGTGTTCTTGATATTTATGTCTCCTACGCTCTTCATAATGTTTAACAATTAAAAGAGTATTTATTAAGTTGAGTTTGAAGGCAAATACAGAAGCCTCAGATGGGCACAAATCAGAGGAAACAATCATACAAATCAGACGCTAAGTAGTAGTTGCATGGTCGTCTGTAATTTTGGTTTGATGTCCATTCGACTTTGCACTCAGTAATTATGAAGCTGGCCTGATTTAAGGAGGCCATCCTTTGTGCGACAATAGATGTGGGGCTTTGTATGTCACAGCTGCTTACAGTATGTCTGACTTCTGCTCTGTGTGCACTTTGTTGGTTTGTGTGAATCATAAGCTTCTGTATATAGCAAGTAGTTTTAATGTGCCATTATATATATAAGTTGAACTTTGGCAGCAGAGGTAATGTTCTTGCCTTCAATGAGTTGCTGCAGAGCTGAAGCCTTCCAGTTAAAATGCTGCGAACTGACCTAATTACTGTACTTTTTATAGGTTAGTAGGTCATTTAAAATCTCACTCATTCTCCAGCTCAGTGTACAGAATAACACACTTTTTTTTTAGTCTAACAAAGGGAAAAAGATAGACACCACTTTTGTAAATATCTGCATTTCAAATTGTGATATTTGCTGTGAAAAGTAATCTCTTTACAGTGCAGACCACCTTTCTCTTCCCGCAGTATAGAATCAGACAGACGTAACACGAGCAGCATCTCTCTTCGGTAGCATTAAGTTGACCCTCAGAGTGTTGAAGCCCGAGCAGATGAACACAGACCCGTCTGTCATCACTGAGTCATCCGCATCCCCGAGAGCAGAAAGCTTCCCGATGGAGTGTTTCCGTCAGCTGATGTTGCCAGGCAACAAACACAGTGTCATCCAGTGGGCAGGATTTTTTTTGGGGCTGATATCTCGTAGCAACACGAGTCAGGTCCAAAAGTCTCGTAATGAGATGATCCCGTCCAGATGCTGACACTAATTATCTAATTTCCCTCCCAGCGACCAAGTGTGGGTGAGATGAAACTCTGGTCCCTGATGATGCAAGAAGGAATATTGAAAGTTTAAAATCTATATGTAGACTTGATAATAAGTACATTAATAGATAATGATAGATATCTAAAAAAACACACAAAATAATGAAGCTTTACAAAAGCAGATGTCACTTTAACTCTAAAGTTTATGTTAATTATATATTTGCAACATCAACATGTTTTGATTCTGTAGAATACATACTGATCATAGGAAGCTGTTTTAACAGTTAATATACAAGCAATCAGACGTCAATCAAACTGTGATTTTGGGTTGTGATTACCAATTAAAGTATACATAATATATAAACTATATATATACACATATACAACAAATATCTTTCTTAAAATTGAATAGTTATTTTTTGTTTTCAAAGATATTTCTCAAGCTGTTTCACCACCGATCCACAATTAATATGTGTTCCCTTATGTCAAAATAGTGTATCGTGCATTTAGTGTAACGTTAAGTATGCATACTAGCTTGAGTGTACTTCCTGCTGTCACCTTTTGAACACATCATTGATTCACACGGACACTTCCGTTTGGTTGTAGGAAGTAGAAATCCAGACTTCTCGTTCAGCCCAGATGTTTTAGAAACTAGTAACGACATGTGGAGATTCCCTCACAGTGCACGCGTATGTGTGTGTGTGTGTGTGTTGGTCTGTCTATGATCCGTGTAACAGGCTGATTAGGATGTTATGAGGTCAAAGGTCAACAGGAGCAGAGGGAGGACTGAACTCATAACCTCGAGGTCAAGCGGAGGAGAGAGCTGTCACGACCCGACACTCTCACTTTTACTGTCTCACTTCCACTTGAATTTATGCCCCTCATCCCTCCTCTTCTTCACATGTTTGTTTCCTCCTTTCAGTTTTTTTATTCCTGGAGGAATCGTTTCACTCGTTTGGTTTGATAGGTGAGGGTTTTCAACCAAATGCTGGAGTGGAAACCAAATTGTTATCTCTCGTAAGAAGACAACTCTTTTTAGGTCAGGGAAATGCTCTGGAGGAGTCGTGTTTCTTTTAACATCTGGGCCACAGTGAGATTATTGCGGTGTAGTAACAGTGAGGTCATGATTATTTTAAAATTAGTCTCTTTAGAAGACGAGCGCTCGCTGCTGTGTTTCTTTCTGCGCTGGACTTTGCCAGATATCGCTTGTCTGTATTTTATTCCTCAGTTTTTTACTCTCTCTCTCTCTCTCTCTCTGTCTCTCTCCTGCGCCCATTGAACTGCCTCCCCACAGCACCCTTTCTCCCCACCCACTTCCTGTTTAGAGGAACAATTAAGGGATTGTTCCCACAGCCCGCGGCTCTGAGGCCTTGATGTAGAGCAGCCACCACATCAGCTGAACATAAAACATTAACTGTTTAGTCCTTGCTGTCCTTGAAGGACAGCGTTTGTGCCCGCAGACCAACAGGAGTAAAACAAAAAGATTGTGATAGACGAGCCACTCTTGAGGAAACACAGTGATCAATGGGGACACATTGTAGCTGATATGACAGACAAAACCATCATTCAGTGTTGAAACTTTGCCTGTAACTCATCCTTTGCACATTTGGGTTTGATAATGACATGTTGGCATAATATTTACATCTAATTAAAACACATACCTGCAAATGAAATGACAGTGATGACTTTAAATACATTAGATTCAATGAGATTCATTGCACACTGTAAATACAACTACAACGAAACACAATGTAGCATCTGAGCATTTGATTACATTAAAACTAGTTGGTAAATAGCTACTAAAACTCTGCCACATAATACAACTTGATTTGAATACGGGATATCACGTTTGATTGATTGATTGATTTATAGTAGAAGAGGAAGTTGTAATGGCATTTGTTTGGATGACATCTGTGATTTAGTTCAACAGTTAATCATTTAATTTTCATTATAAGTTAATAGATGTTGTCTATGCTCAACAAAAGTTGCCAGAGTCAAACTAAATATCTTACAATTGCATTTTTCTCCAACTTAAAGGGTAATCATGATATTCAGTTTATGATAATATGAACATGTGGAGGTGTTTTACCCAAAAGGAAAATTTGACACAAAGTCATCCTGTTGTCTTTAAGCAAACATAGTGCAGGTGTTCATAGTAAGACAATACAATAAATAACAGATAGTAGGTCTTTAATTATCATATCATTTCCACAGCACAGAATAAATATTCACCACTTGAAATGAGAGTCAGTTTGTCTTATTTTCAAGTAGCTCATAGAGAATTAATGAGGAGTTATTGCCTATTAAACTTGAGTGTTAGTCCCACGGGGGCGCTGCTTGTGTAGCTTTTTATTGTTTTGTGCCGTAGTTATAACTATATACGGAGAAAAAGAACGCAAGGCTAGATAAACAATGCAGCGAGCTGAAAAATCACAAAGACGCATGTTGAAATAAGTAAGTCAAATAAAATGGTCTCTGTTGTTTCCTCACAGGCAGAGCGACGGGCGTACAGAGAGGCGGAGATGAACATGATGGACGATCTGTCAGAAGGCACCTTTCAGAAGGAGGAGGAGTCAGCCAGCCCAGCCCCTCCCCCTTCACAACAACAAACAGCCCCAGCCTCACCAACAGTTGCTGTGACGCCGGAGCCAGTTGCCAGGGGAGAACGGGCCACGCCCAGGGAGATAGAGTACCAGGTGATTAATTACTATTATTATATTTGATTTTTCGATTTTTCGAGCTGCTCAGCACGAAGCCCCTTCGGGACGTCTCATCTATTATCATGAGTGCAGGTTAGAACTGGACTCACCTTGTTTTCTGTGTTGCTACAGGATGGCCGGGAGTTTGGCATCGGGGTTCTGGTGTTTGGGAAGCTGCGAGGTTTCTCCTGGTGGCCCGGCAGAATCGTCTCCTGGTTGATGAGCGGCCGAAGTCGAGCTGCAGACGGGACTCGCTGGGTGATGTGGTTTGGAGACGGCAAGTTCTCTGTGGTGAGTAGGTTTAAATAGTATGATCAAATACTGGCACAGTGTGTGTTAAATCACCAGCAGAGAGAAGCCTTTTGTTCTCAGATGAAACTTTGTGGAGCAGATTTGATCTTTTACTTTAATTTGATAGAAGATGACCTTGGTTTTTTTCCTTTGTCTTTTGGGAGATCTTTCCAAAAAACGTTCTCACTGCTGCACACAAAATGACCTTAATTAAAGATTTCAAGGACTTGCTGAGAAGCGGTTTCACCAGTTTGTTCTCTAATCATTTCTGGCATTTCCTTTCGATCTTGATGGCACTCATTATATACTGTATATATTTTGTTTTGCAGGTTTGTGTGGAGAAGCTGATGCTTCTGAGCTCTTTCTCATCTGCATTCCACCAGCCCACCTACAACAAACAGCCCATGTACCGGAAAGCCATCTTTGAGGCTCTGCAGGTAACAAACCCACCATTTTCACTTTGCTCCTTCATGTCAGGGAGCGTGAGGTTTGGAGTCATTTCTGATCACATTCTGATCCTGAACTTATCGTGTTTCTCTCTGGATGAGAGAAAGACCAAAATATAAATGTGCAGGTCTAAAGGTCACATTTTACTCATTCCCTTCTTATGTAACAAGATCCTAATTTGCATTTGTGGAGGTGGTGTTTTCATCTGGCTCTGCCCACAATGTATAAGTGGTAACATGTGGGTACATCTCATATTTCTGTGGGTTACTTTAGTTTTTTCTTGTAAGTTATACAGCACACGTGATCATTTACTTTTTCAACACTGTGTTATTATTCACTCCGAATTCGGTAAAATTCTAAACAACCAGCTACGTATTTGTACATTAAAACCTGCACTTATTTTTAATTTTTAAAGTTTGTGTAGAGCCATAATTAGCATATTTCTCCTTCTTATGTATTTGACATGTTGTCCTGTTTGTTTACCGTGTGTTTATCTTGTGTGGAGGTGGCCAGTGTCCGGGCGGGGAGGCCAGTTCCTTCCTGTGATGCGAGCGATGATGCAGACGGGGTGGAGACTCAAACCAGACAGATGATAGAGTGGGCCATGACCGGCTTCCCACCCAAAGGTCCACAATCACTGGAACCTCCGGAGGGTATACACACATTTACTTTTATATATCATTTACGGGAGTGATCGTCTAAAACATACACATCCTGCAAATACTCCTCAGAATGGAACAGTGGTTAAGATGTGTTCATGTGTGTGAACTTCATTGTGTTACATTGGAGATTGTTACTCCCCTACTATATTTAAGACCACTAATGGGCACTTCATTCTGTTGTTATAACCCCACAGAGGAACGAAATCCATATAAGGAAGTGTACCCAGAGATGTGGGCGGAACCTGAGGCAGCGTACACGCCTCCACCCGCCAAGAAACCGCGCAAGAACTCAGCTGAAAAAGCAAAGATCCGAGAGGTGATCGACGAAGGGACCAGAGGTAAACACACAAACACATCTCAGATGAAGCGGCTTTTATTAAGAATTCAAGAATGTTCAGAGAGAGCACCTTCACTAAGAGTAAATGTTGAAATATAATCCCAAGAAGTTTTACGTTGGCTTAGAGAGTATTTTGGTGAGCAGGAAACCCCTTTATTTGTGATTCTTCGCATAGTTTTCCTACAGCAAAACATCCAGGATATTTTATCAGAAATGGACTAATTTTACAAGAAAAAAAAATCATAATACTCAAAAGAGAAGGTAACCTTTATTACAACATTTACACTTTCTTGGCCTTTTTATGAATTGTCTTTCAGTGTTCACATTCATGGTGTGTTGATGTGTTCTCTTTTGTTCCAGAGAGACTCATATGTGAGGTCAAAAAGAAGACCAGGAACATAGACGGTAAACATTTCAGATTTCTTTCAAGCAGCATTCTTTATTGTAGACTTGAATTAAAGAAGTATTTAATTATGTCTTCTTTGTTTTATACAGTGTTGTTTTACACCATAGAGTATAGAGATTAAAAGCTCATTTATATCATCTTCCTCTTACAGCAAGTTATATTTTCGAATAAGAATAATTCAATGCTGTACTGGAGTGAAGGCTAAAATGTATATTGTTATTGATCAATAAGCATATTGGGGTTTATTTAAAAAGTGTCTTTGTGTGTTTTTTAATTCCTCCATTAATGTAATCAAAGGGCTAAACAAAGTGTTACGTGTAATAATGCAATCATGTCTGTGTCTGTGTTTGTTCAGATATCTGCATCTCCTGTGGAAGCCTCAACGTCTCCATAGAGCATCCTCTCTTCGGAGGAGCAATGTGTCAGGGCTGCAAAGTAAGAAAAAAAACAACATTTCTCATCTGAGTTGCACTTTGGGTCGGTCTGTAATTTGACACTCTTATTATGGACTCGTATGAAATTGATATAATAATATTGTGAGATAATTTTACAACATTATGTGGTCCATATAAATAAATAAATCCAGCAAATTACAGTCAAAAACAAAGCAAAGAAGTATTTATTTATTTTACAACAGTTAATTACATTACATAAAACAACAAATGCCTCAGCCTCTGGAAGCAATTAAGATATTGTTGAATTATTGAACATTGAACATTGGTTGAATATTGGTGACGTCTGTGATATTACGTGGACACACCGAAACAGCAGAAGCACAAGCTTTCATGATGGTGGACAACAAAGACATGCCCCCCCTCTCTGCCTCCCTCCTGACCGCTTTGTTTCTCTGGCAGAACTCGTTCCTGGAGTGCGCCTATCAGTACGACGATGACGGCTACCAGTCCTACTGCACCATCTGCTGTGGAGGCAGAGAGGTGCTAATGTGTGGCAACAACAACTGCTGTAGGTCAGTACCAAACTGTTTATATACACTGGTGAGTTAGACGCTGGCAAGCAGCTTCTACTTGTTGCCAGGACAAGGTTTTGGATTTCACGTCGACATAAAACAAGTTACCCCAAAATGTCAAAGCGTGATATAAACGGAATGACTCCATTTATTTGGCAATTGAACCGGACGACTCATGAGGAGCAGATTTATTTACGTGAACACACATTGTGTATTTTGGCACCCAGGCTCTGACCTCATCACTGCAAATATCCAACAGCTCCAAACAGCAGTCATTTGTCATGCAGTGGTGGAAGAAGTACTCCGATCTTAGTAACAATACTACACTGTAAAAATACTCAATACTACGCTCAAAGTATGGAGAGTGTCCCTAGAATAATCATAACTTTGTGTTTGATTCATTTAATTTAATTATTATTTTAAATAAAGGCATTTTCACCTTTATTTGACAGTACAGTTTAGAGAGAGGGGGCGATGACATGTGACCACCACTGGAAGCAGCATTCAGATATTTTACTGAAGTAAAAGTAGCAGTACTGCAGTGCAGAAATACTCTGTTACAAGTAAAGGTCTCGCAGTCAAAGTACAAAAATAGAAGCTTCAAAATATACTTAAAGTACCAAAAGTAAAAGTACTCATCATGCAGAATGGCCCATTTCAGAATAATATAATGTATATAATAATATATGATATCACTGGATTCTAATGCACTAATATGTACATCATGGTAATGAGCTGCTGGTAAAGATGGAGCTCCTGGAACTACTTTATATACTGCTGGGTAGCTTAGAAATGCATAATAATACCTCAAAATGTATAACGCAATTTATATTTTGTGTTAATAACCTGCAATATAGCTAATATTGCCAATGTAGTGGAATAAAAAGTTAAATGTTTGCTTCCAAAATATAGTAGTAAATGGTAATGATCAACTAATCTATAAGTACAAGTATCTCAAAATTGTACTTGACTGCAGCACTTACACAGTAAATATACTTTACATTGACATTGCACCGATGTAGATGCTGAGCACAAAGACAGCTGTAGTTTAGCCTCTCCCCAAGAAAGTACTATTTGTCAGGTGTCATGGTGAGTTTGTGTGCAGATGTTTCTGTGTGGAGTGCGTGGATCTGTTGGTCGGTGCCGGCGCGGCAGCGATAGCCATCAAAGAAGACCCCTGGAACTGCTACATGTGTGGCTCACGGAGCGCCTGCGGCTTACTGCGGCGACGGGACGACTGGCCCTGCAGACTACAACACTTCTTCGCCAACAACCATGAGCAGGACTTTGTGAGTCTTGACAGTCGCCTTCTTTCCATTCATTTCAGTTCTGGTGTTCATATACATTACACATTACACAACCTGAAGATTCATTTGAGATGCAGGTGGCAAGCACTTCTGTCCTGGAAACTGCTCAGAACCCCCCTTATTGTCACTACACTTAGAATAGCCATACATCCTCTGAATGACCAAGGTCTCTGGTTGGTTTTATACAGCAACATCAAGTTTAAAGAGATGGTCTCACACTATGTGAACTTCATCGCACATGATTACCATTGGTCTTATTGGATCCACAAGAGTCTCAGCTTTCCAGTCACACCCAATGTATGCAATGTGTAGGCATGTCTGTATAGTGGAGACTCGTGGGTACCTATAGAAAACATTTTCTCTCAGATATCTTGAGGTGAAAGGTTAAGGGATCCGTTTGAAAATGGCCATGCCAGTTTTCCCCTCCTCAAAATATCCTTAACTTTGTGAGGTTATTTATTCCAGATAAGCGAGCGCGACATGTACCAATGTACAACGTTAGTATCAATGGACGCCTTAGTCGTCTAGTTTCATCATCTATGATACCAGGATGTCCATTCCAGCTTTAGAAATCTGCTACATCCTGTTAAAGACAGTAATGTTATATTATGATGATTTTAAATTATTATTAAGTTAATAGCTTCCTTGAAAGACAGATAGAGAGAGATAAAAGATGCAGAATGGTCCATTTCACAATCATATATATCACATTACTGGATGATAATTATTGATCTATGACTATATTCATCACTTTAATTTTGCAGCTGTCAAGGGTGGAGCTAAGTTTAATTAGAAGTAGAAAGTAGCATAAAGTGGAAACACTCAAGTGAAGTACATTACTTCAGTAAATGCATGTGACGGCAGCTGTCATCATGTATCCAGGTACGTTAGGGGTCATTCAATTTGCTTTGAAATGATGGTTAAAATACTAAAATATATATTCAATAATTGTATTTCCTTCAATTTTTGGGGATTTAGTGTCTGCTTATCATACTCCATCTCGCATCTTCAGACTACTACTTATATACTTACATGTATTTCTATACAATACTACGGTACACCTCATTACACCAACTCAGTCCTGACAGCATGATGGCTGTGAATTTGATATATTTGCCATCGTAGTCTGATCTGCTACCATAACCTTTGCTAGGGGAACTAGGTGAAATACATCACAGTCAAACATTAATATCCGGGGATCAGCGAGGCCTCTGCTCAGCTATAAATGATCCATGAAGGCTAAAATATCAGAAGCATGTTTATATCAGATCATCATCATGAATAAATCTCATGTGTTATGAGCAGCTCTCTCTACACACTGTAAAGCTTAATATTTAATGTTCTTCTCATCGATGTTTCTTCTCCTCTTTCTTTTAGGAGCCAGCCAAGTTGTATCCTCCAGTTTCAGCAGAGAAGAGGAAACCAATCAGAGTTCTCTCCCTGTTTGATGGCATTGCCACAGGTGCGTTACGTGTAGGGCTGCAACGAACGATTACTCTCATTATCGATTAATCAATTTATTAATAGACAATGTCGGTCAGTCGCTCCACAACTTCTGTTCAGACTGAAATGTCTCTACAACTATTGGATGCATTGTCGGAAATGTTTGTACAGACATTCATGGTCCCCTCAGGATGAATAATAATAACTTTGGTGAACTTTCAACTAATTATTTACCATCATCATTTTAACTCGTCCAATACTTTGGTTTACGACCGTGATCACCCCCCCAACATGAAGAGAGCTCTGTTGTGAAGTTTGCAGATGACACGGCAACAACCTACAGTTCAACGTCAGTAGAACAAAGGAGCTGATTGACCACAACACTTCAGAGCAGCAGCTTTCCTCAGGCTGTTAGACTCCTAAATTCATCCTCATCCCTTCACCATAAAACAATGTTAATTATAGTTAACAGTTCAATATAATGATCGTTATTTTATTTCTTTTTATTAATTGTTCTTTTTGACCTTTATTTAACTGAATTAAAATGTTTATTTGTGTGTGTGTGCACACAGGTCTGTTGGTGCTGAAGGATTTGGGCATGCACGTTGACAAGTACGTGGCGTCTGAGGTGTGTGAGGACTCCATCACTGTCGGCATGGTCCGACACCAGGGTCGCATCATGTACGTGGGCGACGTACGCAACGTAACACGCAAACATGTGAGTGGAACTCCTCTTTGCTTCTCCACACATTCAGATTCATACATCAGATCACACGAGGCATTTAAGTGTAAAGACAGCATAAGTGGGAAATGCTTATTTAGGCGCCAGTTGATTGTTTTTGAGTGTTCTATTGCACCAAACTGCCTCTTTAAACCCTTCTGTGCTGATGTCAACTCGTGCCGTTAGATCGAGGAGTGGGGACCGTTTGACCTGGTGATAGGAGGAAGCCCCTGCAACGACCTCTCCATAGTCAACCCTGCAAGGAAAGGCCTTTTCGGTGAGAGGCGCTCTTTGATTCTGTCTGAAATTCACACCAGAGTATAACAATGTTCTGCTATAAATACATTTTTTAAATAAAAACTTGGAGGAAAGTTTTAATAGATTAAATTAATGATTTAAACTACAAATGCTCAGTGGCGCTGATGATCTTCATGTGAAATGAAATATGGATGCTGAACTTCCACTATCCTCCCCGCAGAGGGAACAGGCCGCTTGTTTTTCGAGTTTTACCGCCTGCTGCACGAGGCTCGACCAAAAACGGGCGACGAGCGTCCGTTCTACTGGCTGTTTGAGAACGTGGTGGCTATGGGAGTCAGCGACAAACGGGACATCTCCCGATTTCTAGAGGTACAGCAGCAAGAACACAGCCATTAAATACAGTTATTTAGATACATGTGTATTACTCCAAAGGATCACACACAGTCACCCAGTTTACCCTCAGTGAAGCAGAAGAGAGAAAGAAATATAAAGTCTCATGCAGATTGACCGCTCTGTCAGGAAATGTAAACCACACATTTTAGAATGCATTTTGACTACAGAGTTTTTAGATGCTTTTATCTACAGAAAGCAAAAAACAGACTAAATATAAAACAGACTTCACTTACCACAGTTATGAGGACAAAAAAACATCTTATCATCGCATTGTTAATATACAAAGACAGGAAGATGCTCATATTTGGTGAAACAGGAAGTAAATCTGCTGCTCCTCTTCAGTGTAACCCAGTGATGATCGACGCCAAAGAGGTCTCTGCTGCACACCGCGCTCGCTATTTCTGGGGAAACATGCCAGGCATGTCCAGGTGATACAGACACACGTACCATTGTTATGATCAGTTCACTTTTAGTGTATTTGATTACAAATCTGAATTAGAATCAACATGTTTTTATATTTTTCCCCCTTTTATTTCAGACCTCTGGCAGCAATGACGAATGACAGGCTGGACCTACAAGAGTGCCTCGAGCACGGGCGCACAGCCAAGGTATCTATCCACCTCTGTGAGTGTGTGTGTGTCTGTGTGTCTGTGTGTGTATGTGTGTGCTCATTATCATATCATATCAACAAAGTTTGGAAAGTAAAAAGCCAAATGTAGAAAGTATTGATGGCAGAAAAACAAAAACTGGAAAAAAAAGGTTGGAAATTTGTCCGACAGTCAATATCAGGGGTGTCAAATAATGAACCGATGCTCTTTATAAAAGCTAATGGGATGTATGGAAATTGAATATTTCTCCTTTGAGCATAGATATACGTACACACTGTAGAGTAATTCTGCAAAAATGTGCCCATTGATTTCCATTTTTACTGCATTTTCTTCCTGCTACTCTCTCACTTGTCACTCATTTCTTGAACAAATGCTCATTTGTTAACGATGACTTTTTTTAAATAACAATGTATTGTAGAAAAGGGGGATGGCTTTAGGATTAAAAAAGGGTTTGTGTGTGTGTGTGTGTGTGTGTGTCTTTTCTGTGTTTTTGTGTGTGCTTGGTTCTGGATGTTAATTCCAGTTTGAGAAGTTACGTACGATAACGACACGCTCCAACTCTGTGAAGCAGGGGAAAGACGAGCATTTCCCCGTCTTCATGGACAGCAAGGAGGACATCCTCTGGTGCACCGAGATGGAAAGGTACAGTGGTTTGTGTTTGTGTCTCTGCTCTGTGTGCTGGATTCCTCTAACTCCCGTGTGGACTACGTTCGTGTTTCTGATCATTGTGGTACTTTAATAAATAAGTCTTCTATCTCTGTGTGTGCAAACTCAGTTTCTTTTCAAACTCTTCATTTATGAAGCAAATCTCACACGTGTTTACGGGACAAATGGTAGTTTTGAGACGAGACCGACAGTCACTGGGGAGTCCTCCAGTTGTCGTGTGTGACACCCTGTCGCCAGTCAGTCATGTAGCGTGAAAACCACGATGACTTCAAGACTTCTGATTACAAGACAGAACGTAGTGTAGTGTGAACAGCGCCGCGATCTGACGACTTTAAGAGTCGTGTCGTGTAAAAGTGAAGAAAGTGTACAAAGTGAAGAGAAAACACAGATAAGCTGCGGATTATGAGTCTCTAAGTAATGGAATAAAATCAATAAATGGTTTGCACAAAAATACAACTATTACTTTTAAAATTCAAGACATATTTTACTGACTAGTTGTTGTTTTTTTATATCTGAAAAAATCTGAAATGAATAACCTACAATATATTAGATTAGGTTTGTCTGGTCAACGATGGTTGTTACAACTAACAATTATTTATGCTATTGATCGTTTTCTCAACTAATTGATGAATCATTTTCTCTTTGAAATGTCAGAAAACAGTAACACATGTCATCACAACTTCCTATAGACAAAAATGATGTCTTCAAATTGCTGGGTTTTTTCTGACCAGTAGTTCAAAACCTAAAAATATTCCAATGTACACAGATAAAACACAGTTGGGGAGCTGAAACCAGGGAATGTTTGGAATTTTTGCTTGAAATCAGTTAATAAAATAGTTGCTGATCTGTCAATGAACGATTGATTTGTTGAATAATTGTCTCTTTTAAATCCAATATTTAAATGCCATGTGTGTGTGTGTGTGTGTGTGTGTGTGTGTGTGTGTGTGTGTCTGCAGGGTGTTTGGTTTCCCCGTCCACTACACCGACGTGTCCAACATGAGTCGTCTCGCCAGGCAAAGGCTTCTGGGTCGTTCCTGGAGCGTCCCCGTCATCAAGCACCTCTTCGCCCCGCTCAAGGAGTACTTTGCCTGCAACTAGTCATGCACCAACTCTCTCTCTCTTACACACACACACACACACATACACAGATATACAGTATGTAATGACAGACACACAGTATAGAGCTAGTACATGAAGGTTGACACAGGATGACCAGACACACACCCACACCCACACACACACACACACACACACACACACTTTGTAAAGGACTGCTTCCCTAGATACCATGTAGATCACTGGCTGACCTTAGTCCCCAGGTGCTATCTTGCTGATCTCCACACACACATGCACACACACACTTCCTGTCCAACCTTGAAACTGATGTCTTCTGGCTTTACTGTGTCATAGCAGCTGGAGCCTCCATTGGGCCCAAAGCTTACAAAGAAGCCCTAACTTTCTGTTTCCAATATCCCAGAGTGAGTACATCAACACACTTCTGACCCCAAACACTTTACTGTACTCATGTGTAGTGATAGTGCTGCTGGTGTAATACAGTGCAATGAACACATACAAACATAAACACCGGTTTTACGCTCGTGGTGCTGGTCAGGCGGTGATAGAGTCCAAAAGGTGCCACTTTAATACAACACTTTGAAGGTTGTTGGTGCTCTTGAAGACCAGACGGTCTCTGGTTGTTTCGGTCTCACAGTTTTGTGTCCCTAATTCAGCTTACAAGCAGGTGGAGGCAACACTAAGCAAGAGACGTGAATTATTAAGGTCTATATATATTTGTCAGATTTTGTGAGAGGGTCCAAAAAAAAACAACTAAATATGATCAAATAGATTCATATGAAGTACATCAGACTGTAATTTGTTTTCTTGGTGGAAAAGCTGCTCTGGAGTGACAAATAAGTAACAAATATAAAACAGAGGTTTGTGTGGCAAAATAATACCAAAAATAGGTCTTCATCTTCTCCTGAGGGAGACCACTTTTGTCTTAAATATTGTCAGTAAGTCTTGCAACATGAAATACTGAAGAGTTATTTCTTTGGGGTATGCCACAGCAGTTTGAGGTTATTGCTTTCCTTTGCTCATGTTCGTTAACCTCTGTTGTTTACAGAATCCCCATTAGCTTCAACTAAAGAAGTTGCCAGTGTTCCTGGAGTCCATAAAAATACACAAGTGACCAACATGTTCTGGTTTAAAACAAGACTCTAGACAACATAAGAGACGAATGATACTGATTGGCATGTTCCTTCCAGAAAAGACTTTTTAAAGATCATATTGTAAAGATAGCGTGAACCTCTGTAACTACATCCTCAGTGTTTGGAGCGCCCTCCGGTGGGCCGAGACACCAGTTTAAAGAGAGCGCACAACAACACTCATGGTGGGGGGTAAAACAATCAGTTAGCGCTCACTGGATTAGAAAAATTGTCAGAAAATAAAAGCTTTTATACTTAATACCTATTAATACTTAATACCTATAAGTGCCACCATTAAGTTATGTTTTAGTGTTTTATATTTTGGTGTTTTTTGCAATATTTTAGGCAGTGATTGTACATTATGGTTACCTAATGCTTTGGTGAATACGGTGTGATATTCTGCACACTCGTAGCATTGTAACACACTAGCATGTGTAAAAGTACTGTTGTATTGCATTGGTTACTGTCAACTGTTGCTCAAATGATGTCGTCCACTGTGTTCATCGCGACGGAGGGAAATTGTAACAATAATGTCCGTCACTTTAGTAATCGTGCCGCTTGCCAGCAGTAGACTGAGTTTACTTTGGCCTCTGAGAGCAGATGTGACATTTAACATCTGCACAAAGTTAGTCCCAGTGAACACATCTGGATCGTAGATGTCAGAATACTGTAACAAAGAACACTATTGTATGATGCTGATGTGTTCAGATAACCCTTAGACGAAGCAGTTATACTGTGAAATGATGACATAAGGTAGTCTGTCTCTGTAGCCTGGTGTGTTTTCAGCCATCACGAGAGTAGCTTGGCTGGGCATCGTCTCTGCAGTGAGCAAATATTGAGACCTTTAAGATCATGGATACATTTCATTTTTAGCTTGCTTGCTGTTTAAAGGATTGGAGATTGTATCTTCATTTTAGATACGATATATTTATTGTTCACGACATCGTCGATTACACACACACATATATCTTTTTATGACGCTGATCTTGCACCGCATTACGTCTGCCGTCTGGATTTTGTGTCAAAATCTCAGTTTAGGATCGCTAGACCGAAATGTTTCATTTTTAAAAAAACATTTTGAAACCTTCCTCCTCCCTTAAAAAACACTGAAGTGCCATTCGCTCACACTAATTTTCCGGACGTTTTCAAACAAGCAGACTTCTTCTTCTACTGTTAAAATGTTTCCTGCCTCGTACCGTTTTTAGCAATTACTTACACACTTATTGCAGAATAAACGTGTCACTTCTGTGTCAAAGTTAAACTCTGCAATCAAAAGCTAATAATGGCACTTTTGCCTCAAAACGAGACACACGTGCACCGTTTGAATTACTCTTTAAAAGCAGCAACAACACACTGGTGTACGTTATACCAACACTGAGCTTACTTGAGGTCTATTTGTAGTGCTGAGGCTCACACTGGTCGGTGTTTTTTTATGTGTGCATTTGTTGCCAATTTCAGGTATGTTTTGCATTTTGAAGAGAAGTGTTTTCCCAATGATTGCAAGTGTGATTAAGAAGTGTGTTGTAGAATTGCAATCAAAATTGCAAAGCAGGTTTGCTCAAAGATGCGATCAATCTTCTGCTCAACAAGTTTAAATTGATCCGGTGAGATTATTTCTGCCTCCAGAGCAGCACGGCCTCTGAGAAACATTTAACCAAAGACCTTTTTCGGGGGTTCGGTGTCTCGCTGACAGTCAGTGGAGAATAAACCTGAACATATTAATATATGAATGTTAATATACAGCTTCCCGGAGTGTTGCTCCTCTTTTTTTGTCCGGCTCTTGCCGTTGCGCTCCTGCTTTGCTTCTTAGGGATCCAAAATGTCGTGCTGTTATCAGAGCCAGACCTTTACTCTGCAGACGCTATGCTGGTTTTCTACTTCCTACGACTGAAACAGACAGCCCTGTGTGAATAACGGATACTTCCTCATAACATGCGCCCGTTTCAGGGTTTCTTCTGCCTTTTTGCCCAATGCATGCTGGGATAAACTCTGTAACTTTGAATAGGAATAAGCAAATAAAGAAAATGTCACGATATAGAAATGTTTCCAAGACTCTCTCACACACACAGACAGTGTGTGTGTGTGTGTATGTGTGTGTGTGTGTGTCTGGACGTCCCTTTATACTGGTGTCTTATTCACACAGGGCTGTCTTTAGAAATCTCTTTCAGTCTGGTGCTCTTGGTCTTCAGGTGACCATCTTTTTCCAGGAAGCCTTCCGATCCTCTGACCTTCCTCAGATACCAGCTAACAACTGGACACATGCAGTCTATGCTGACACACATACACACACACACGCATGCACACACATGCACAAACAGTTACAAAAACCAACAATAAACCAGCAGGTTCAACGTTTTTTCCATCATGTTTACTCTTCGTTTATACAACTGACCTTCAGGTGCTTTTTAAACTCTTAAACTCTTTTTTACAGTGCTCTTGCAGGTAACACACACACACACACACACACACACACAAACACACATTTGCTGGAAACACAGTGCCGACGTTCATGCTTTCTCTGAACTCCTTTAGCTACAAAACATCAACACACATACATGCATACACACTGTGTTTTTGCCGGCCGCCTGTTGCCATCAGGCTTCCCACGGCGCCGCCGGGTGTGACATCATCACCCTGCGTCGCTTGGTGCTCCCTAACCCCCCTCACCCAAAACCCCCCTTACCCCACTCCCCGACCCCCCCGGTGCTGCATGTCAGTCAGTCAGTGTAATCTCCGATTCCATGTTAGATTAGGGAGTAATGATAATAATAATCATGGTAATAATAATTACAATAATAATCTGTTATCGTGTGTGTGTACTGTTCCAGGTTGGTGCTCAGTTCAGTCTCAGCCTCGAGGGGAGAGAGCGAGGCTAGAGAAAGCATATATTACAGTTAGTATAGTGACTTGTTCTATTGTACCCAAGGATGCCGGAAGAAATTGTTGAAGCGACGAGCTAACGGACACTCTCAAACAAGAGCGAGTTGAAACGACATGGAAGGAAGTGTGCGTGGACGAGGCAGATTGCAGTGAAACTAAAATTAAGTTCATATTTTCTGATTTCTTCTAAACAGCTTTGATTTACAAGCTGGGAAGGGAAGCTTTTCAGAACCGTGTTTTGTTGTGTTTGTTTGCGCATGTTAAAATCAAAACCAATGGCAGACAAATAACAATGAAATAGCCATCACAGTGGTTCAAAACCTTCAACGGGTCACCAGATGCTTAAAGGGTTAAAGAAACAAGTTTATCACAGAAAACTGTGTATTGTTTTGTACTTAAAAAATTTTATTTTGCTTTTCTATTCCCCGTATTGAATACCCTGACCTCCAAAACAAAAAAAGACGAGGAACAACTGTGTTATGACTTAATAAACAAATCAAGACCAAAAAAAGAGAGATTAAACTCCTTAAAAATCTGTGATTTTGGACTTTAAAGAAGATGCCAATCTAAATAAATGAGTAGACCAGCTCCATTTGTCCTGTTGTGTATCTGATATCTGAAATGTGGGATCACAACGAGCTGTTGCTTTATTTTAACGGCTCTAAAGCAGAACTTCGGCTCATTTCACGTCGTTTCAACACGTATATGTTTGAGAGTGCAGGCGGACAAAAAGCGAGAGGAATGGAGTGGATATTTTCAAACGATGTGTGACACGGTGATGATGTTTCTGTTCGCCTATCAACAGCTTTTAGGCTGTTTTCAACACTGATACATTTACACATAAATTACACACACACACTGTTATTAACACACAGACGCAGAGATACATGCATAACACCTACAAGTACAATGCTGTGGCGCATGCAGACACTCATCTCATGGACTAAAGGAAAGATGAGCTTTTAAGAAACGGAGGACCTGGTGGTGTTTCAAAAGGTGCTAAAATTTTATCTGAAAATAAGAAAAATATATTGTTAGGAGTATAAATCAAGTTTGTCTTTACAATGACTGTATTTAAGTTTGTCGTAGTAATGAAAAGGCACTATTATTATTTTACTCTTGTATGAATATGAACTAATTAAAAAGGCATTTTAACTTTGTACTTGAACAATGTAAGAAATGAACCGTGAATTAAAAAAAGTACTGTTTCTTGTGATTTGGTCTGAAGGCTCAGTGTTAATTACCTTTATGTCAGTTAGCGGTCATGGTTGGTTTTCATTTTTTAACAGCTTATTGTCTTTCAGTTTCCTCAGGACAAAGTTTGCTTTACATAAAATCAACAGTAACACTCAGCATTTTCTCTTGCAAAGGACATTTTGTCGCCTTGCGAGAGTTTGTTGAGGACAGCAGGAGCTGGTCTACTAAGCCAAACTCTACGATGAATAACTGCAATTAAACATCAACAATTGCATTTAGTCAAAAAGTCAAAAATGTGCACCCCTAATATCAGTTTACGTCTGCGTCTATGTCTTTTTAAATAAGACAAATGTTGAGTGTTTTCCCAGCGATTCTTATGTTGGATTATTGTTAAAGGTTCTTTTCAATATTCAGATTATTACTACAGCAGCAAACATCTATTTGCTATGTAAGGATATATTTAGGTATTATAATAGCTGCCTGAGCAGAGAATGGAGTTGCTCTCCCTCTGTATGTGATGCAATCTGAGCTCCTCTGTGCTCTGTTGACATAGCTGGACCGGCCACCGTAACATTATAATGGCTGTCAGTTCATGTGAGCGTGCCACACTTTGCTAGCTCATGGCCACACCGGCTCTTACGACTGTTAACAGCTGATAGCGCCGTCCCAAACTGCAGCGTCGTCCCGGAAGCGTAGCACCGACCTCACAATGGTGACAGCACCATTCTGCCACGCTGCCAGGAAGGAGGGCCCTGTATGCTGTGGTCCTTCAGCCACATATTGATGCCTTCAAGTGCTCCTTGTAATCTGGATTTCACGCGCAGCATTCAAGTGCTCTCGGTCAGAAGTGATACCAAACTGGTGGTGTGATTTAAGATGATTTATTTATACACACCTGGCATGAAATTGAGTGACAGGGTTTTTACGTTTATGTCATGCAGCTTACAGAGTACATCATTGTAAACCCTATGTACACCTATCCAAACGGGTATGTGCGTTAAATTTCGGGAATTTTAAATTGACTTCTTTGAGAGCTTGGGCAAAGGTAACATTACTCATGTACAATAGGATGTTGGACAGTATGTATTGGAGGTCTTTATAAAAAACTATCCACCTAATATTAAGATAATTTTAAGACCGCTGTAGTATTCAAATGTTTCATCAGCACAACAGACAAACTAAGACCAAAGAACAACAACAATTTGGGACTTTTTCAAATAAATGAATACAATATATAATATAAATATAAATGTGTTAGAGACATGACATTCAATTTAAAAGCTAAATACATGAATAAACCTTAAACTATTTAAAAGAATGGTGCAAATATGCAGAAATAATGTGTTGGGGAGTGCAGTTGTTATTGAACTAGTATAGAGAGACTTATTGGTGTAAAAACAATATTTTTATAGCAAGATCTATTAGCAGCTGTTCTGAATTATTATTAATATAGTATATGTTAATAGCATTTACTGGATTTGTCAACTAGTTTCCAATATCAAAACTGAACTTTCCCTCTAAGTGTATTAGTCTAAATAAATCTAAGTACCTCACTTAATAGACCATCACACTTCACACTTCGTATAATCAGTTGCATAAAGTCATCAGGTACTAACATCAATATTTCCGACAGCACTTGAAGGCAGCATGAGTCTCTGGAGACAGGAGACGCGCCCCTGTCTACCGGAGAGAGGAGACCACATTTCTCGTCTCCTATTGGTCCGTTTTTCACTTGGTCAGGTCTGAGTTGCTCCTGATTGGCTGCTGCAGGACTGTCGGCATTGAAGCATCTGTGGCTCGCGCTGTGCCAGCTGTCCGCGCGCTCTCTGCTAGTGCTGAGCAACGGTGAAGAGCTTCAGCTGAGGATCTGTGAATCTGAGAGAAAAAGGGTGAGAAGACCAACAATTATGTGAAAAATGAAGATACCAGGGTTTATTTTCTAAATCTAGTAATGCTTGACAAGAATTGAAGAAATTAATTATCAATATTTTTTATTTAGACCGTTGAAATATTTGATTATGTCTATCATTAACAGCCGTTATTTCCCCTCTAACGTTACATAACGTTAGCTTAATATCAAGAGTTTTTGTGTTTTATTGCAAAGAAATGTCATTCAACCAATGATGTAGCTATTCCTCCCTCTACATTTGAATGGGGATGATTTATCGCGAGCCTTTTCTTTAGCTACTTAATGATATTTTAAATGACATTGCGTGAATTTCACATGATAATAAATCCAAAGAAGAATGGATGAAGATTGGTCGTATGTTGCAAATTAGCACCGTGTGCTTTTCGGCGACGAAATATGGGAGAAATGTGTTCGTGTGTGTGTGTGTGTGTGTGTGTGTGTGTGTGGGTGGGTGTGTTTCGCGTGCCATCAGTGCTATACGGCTGTGTGTTAACGTTACTGTAGTGTAACGTGTATGTGTTAGCCGTTATGTCTTATATTCGTTACAGTTATTCTCTGTCCTACCAAATATCTTGAGTCACAGTGGTGTGGAGGATGATGATGATGATGATCACGAGAAGGAGGGTGTGTAGTCGTCATGCATACAAACGAGCCTGCCGATGTGTGTGTGTGCGTGTGTGTGTGTGTGTGTGTGTGTGTGTGTGTGTGTGTGTGTGTGAACATAATGTGAACAGGTGACTTGATCTCCCCTCCTTCTCTTTATCTGAAGGTATGTATTTTGCATGCAGCCCTCCTCCAGTCTTGTGGATGAGGAGGCACTGAGGCCCTCCCATCATTTGGTTTAAGGATACTGGAGGGTGCTTTAGGGGCCTCCAGGGGTCCTCAATGCAGCACAATGAACATAATATATTAGACAGCCTCCTAAATAGATGACGTAACCTGTTTGCATACACACAGTGTAGTCCATTTTACTCTGAATGTTGACAACTATTGATGCCCATCTTGCCTGATATCAGACAGATTTGTTAACTTGTTACACTCAGCACTCGTGTTTTAGAGGATGTAATAAGAAATCATTTCATTAAATTATTTGGTTAACGAGCAGTACCTTGATCCAGTGCGCAGGGTGGAGTTCTGCATGTTCTCCCCATAATGGCGACGTTAGTTTCCTCCGGCTGCTTCGCTTTCCTTCCACAGTCCAAAGACACAGATTAGACTTCTGTAGTTGTGACTATAGTGGATGTGAATGGTGTCTGTATGTGATAGATGGGTGATGTGCTCCACCTCCAGCCCAGTGTTAGCTGCAACCCTGCAAATAATAAGAGGGCCGGACATTTGGTAAATGACTTAAACAATCAATCAATCGATTCTTATGAAACGGTCTTAATTTAACACCGATAGCTCTTTGTGACCGACGTTTTCTAAAAGCATTCTGGCGCTCGGAAACTCTGCCTAAAGCCTAAAAATACTCTATTACAAGTAAAATTCCTGAATTCAAAATGTTACTTAGGTAAATGTATAGAAGTACTGTCAACAAAATGTACTTAAGGTATCAAAATAAATACTCATTACGCAGAAGGCTTCCTTTCTAGATGTTATAATATTATGGAATATTAGATTATTAAGTCCTGAGGTCCAATTCACAAAATGTTATAGATAACGGCCGGATAGTTGGGAACAAGACAAACAGTTTTAAGGCCCGGGTAAAGGCTAGTTTAAAGGCAGTTAGATGCTATTTGGCTTGTTTTCGGCGCAGGAGGAGAGGTCAAAGGTCAGACAGAAGTTCTACTTCGATTATTTCTTCAAATTTCACCTGAGACAGAGGAGAGTGAAGGGTAGGAAGAGATGAAGATGGATTAATAAATAGATGATAGACTATCTTAACATTAGTATATAATTACAGCGTGATAAAGAGTGCATTTAGAGAGAGAGAGACTCTAATCCTCTGAGTGATGGCCTAGTTAGTTGTGCGACCGATGTTGTTATTGTCTGTTTATCTGTGTGTGTGATTCACTAATGGCTTATTCATCCATGAACCCCCAGTAGCACCCTCAACTCTTTAAACCTCATCCTGTGTGTGTGTGTGTGTGTGTGTGTGTGTGTGTGTGTGTGTTTGATGTCTATTCTTATATAAAATTGCTTGTTCAGTATGACTTGTCTTATGTACGTTTGTTCTGGATTTATAAATAGCTCTACTGTTCTCTCACACACACACACACACATACACACACACACATACACACACACACCAACATTGGCTCACGCATTTTTGAGGTAATGGCACACACACACGCACATAGTGACTCGAACACTCAAACACACACACCGTGTACGCCGACCCTCCCTGTGGCGTTCAAGCAGTAGTCAGCAGCTGTCTACTCCTTTCTTCTCACTTACAACATGCATCAACACACACACACACACACACACACAGATGTCACACATGGAGCCTGCACTTGTTCAGAGGATGTCAGCACCCACCATGTCACATTTACACTGTTTCTAAACATTCAGGCTTTTTCCCAAAATAGATTTTACTTCTCTTCATCACAAGACGAAGGTTTTAATCTTCATCCTGCGTTTCGTTTAGTTTCTGACTGCAGCGCTGCTTCAATTATGCAACTTGGCCAATTAATGGTAAGCAACACCAACTGATTGATCATTTTAGCCTTTTAGTTCACCCTTTTCTATAAGAGTATTTGTTCTTATATCGTTTTTTGCCATACTAGATATGGTTTTGGTGTTCATGTTTATCTTAATATAGTAACACTGCCTTTAATAACACAATCTGAATATTGTTCATGATTATCAGGCCGGTCATACCTTAAAGACCAGCGTGCAGGTTTTTCACAGGAAGCTGTGAAGTGGCTGCGTGTCTCTGGTACGACAACATTATGAAAACATCTGACGATGTGACTTTGGGAGTCTAGAGACTAAATCTGCCTTCTGCGCCTCATTCATTATTAATCAACACCCCCATTAAGACTTGTGTCTGTGTGTGTAGGTGTGCGTGTGTGTGTGTGTGTGTGTGTGTGTGTGTGTGTGTGTGTGTGTGTGCGAGTTGAAGCAGCTGGTCACAGGGTGAGTGAGAAATGTTGCCCGGTGTGTCACTGTTTGCCTGTGTGTCTCTCTCTCTGGCTGTCTGGCTGTCGTACCTGCTATGACTCAGTGAACACACACACACACACACACACACACACACACACACACCTTTCTGCTTACAGTCCTTACACACACACACACACATACAAAGCTCCCCGTGTGGAGCAGCCTCGGCCTATAAATAACAGCAATGGAGGCCCGAATATCACGCAGACGTCACTCTCTGTCAACTTCACCAAATTTCATATTCCCTTCTCGTAACTCGTTTCACCCACTGAACACGACCGGACAAAAAGAGCAGAACAAACACTGCGTATATATCATGGGTCCAGTAAATGTAACCGATTCGTCAGTATATCATTCAAAGCATTTGTTTTAACTTTGTGTTTTCCAGAAACAGGTTTCAGTCTGTCATTTCCTGTTTCTATCTGACAGTAACATCAGGATCTATAATGCCAACAAAGCAGTGAATTGAATCAAATCTGCAGACTATATTTATTGTGAGAGAGAGTCGGGTTGTAAACCATCCAGAGGCGGGAGTCCAGCAATCGGTTCTGTGATTTGGCACCGGGCCTGCTGGACCTGTAACCAGTATGTTTCCAGTACATTTCCAGTATGTTTTAGTATGTTTTTAGTATGTTTTTAGTATGTTTCCAGTATGTTTTAGTATGTTTTTAGTATGTTTTTAGTATGTTTCCAGTATGTTTCCAGTATGATGTCATTTCCTTTCAGAATATATTTATTTATTCGAAATGATCCAAAGTAAGGAAGGAAAACTGTTGATATCCATCTCATTGTGTTGATTCTTTAACGACAAATGCTTCAACTGCCGTTTGTGGTGTTTTAGTATGCTTCACCATACTATTACATGCAATTGTGTGTGTGCGTGTGTGTGTCTGTGTGTGTGTGTGTGTGTGGGTGTGGGTGTGTTTGCGTCGAGGCTTTTCCGCTGAACGCACTCCAGTTCCCATCTCCTGGGAAACCAGTCTTTTATTCTGCTGCCAGGCCTTTAGGGCACTGGTTTCCATACCGCACCCCCCCCCTCCCATCACCATGTTCACCCCAATATCGCTTTATCTTCAGCTCTACATGATCATCCACTTCTACTCTTCCGCTATCAGTGGACTCTCCTCTTTCTACTGCCACCCTTATTACTCCTGCCTCTCTCTCTTTCACCTCTTCTTTGGCCCTCACCTTTCTGTGATCGACTGGACTTTATTCGGCATAAAACCAAAACCTAATGTAATCCTTTAAGTGAGAATCTCTGCCCAATTGTTTCTCCTCTTTGGACCCATTCCATTTCATCTGGTTGGGGTACAAATGTCTCTCCTCATTATTCTGTCCACCGTTCGTTTCCTTCCCCTCCTCTCCTTCCTCTCTCTATTCTCCATCTCTTTGAGTGTGATTCTGTGTGACTGGGCGGCCATTGTGTCCGTCCGTCAGACACATTGCATACATTCACCCATGCAGAATACACACTTGCACACAGAGGGATGTTTGTAGAAGAAGCTCTTTAGTTTGTTGATCCCATTAAGACTTCCTCACGCAGCCTTTTTTTCAATAATCATCTGAAAGTACCACATAAGGACCAATAGTTGTTTAAATACACTTTTCATGCACAGTGTACTCTGGAGTATGTAAGATCATACACAAACTAGCAATTAAATATTGTTAACTTTGCAAGTAAAATGCGTTTCATTACATCAAGGCGCTTTGATCGAGCAGACAATGCTGCAAATCACCAGACTCAGCTTTACTGCTTCAATTATAAAATGTGTTCAACGTTTCAGAAATGAAAAACATCGGAAGCCTGTCTATGAAAATGTCCCGAAGCACATAAACTGAGTGCTGCGTACAGTAACATAACATGAAATTACCATTGCCAGAAGTTATCATTAACTGTTTAAAGGGGGGGGGGGGCAGGGACTAGATCACAAATACCAGCAGGCATTCATTAACGTACAGTAGAAATGTCTGGAATGAGGTTAATTAGATCCATGTTTTCAACCAAAAGCCCTGTAGGACTATTAGAATGCACCTTGCTTAACATATTTGTAGAGCAAGTGGCTGCAACCAGCAAATAATTTCCCTATTGATGAATCTGATTATTACTTTTTAGATGAAATGTCAGGAAAATAGCAAAAAATGTCCACAAAAGTTTTCCAAAATATTGAATTTAGTGTCACATAAGACAATGAAAAACATCAAATCGTCACACTGATAAGAAAAACCAAAGTTATAGTAAATTCCTTGTCATCAGTCTTTACCAGGCAGCGTAACTATTGTTCATTTAAAACCAGCTTTCTTCCTCCAGTCTGGTTCAGTTCATGAAGCTGGTAACATACGTGGGTTAGTTAGTAAGTATTCAGGTACTGTGTATATTTTAAGAAGCCTCTACTTTCCGTCAGCCAGCGCAGAACTCTGAGGATCTTTCATATTCCAGCAGATACTGTAATAGATTTGTAAATTATAGATTCTCTGCTCGACTCTTAATATTTCATAGACCGAGCTGACGCACTAAAAGCTTGGAGGACGTTTTCTTTCTCCAGAGACAAAATGACAGCATATGTGTCAGAAACTGTAATTTAGCAGAAAACACTGGTGTAATCACGGACGATTGTCCAGTTGTGCTCTGGCAGCTGGAAACAGCTGCCATTTTTAATTGAAAACCTTTTCTTACATCCATATAACGTCCGCGACAATGGCTGTGATACACGTTCACCGCCACAAGCCACACATGAGACTTGGGCCTTGCCTTCTAAGACATTAGCACACCGCTCAGGATGCTGTTTAACCATTTCCATTCATTCTTGTTGTCAGTGGCTTTGCTTTAAATAGTTCATCTTAATGTCATCGGGTCCAACTCCCCGCGAAATCAGACGAAGCGAAGGAGGGAATGAGCATGCAATGGTTGGCATTATGCAAAAATATTTACTTTATGATGAAACCTTTCTCTGAATCAGAGATGAACAGTTTTGTAGTTTCCAGTTATGTCCTGCCTGTACAGAACTCTGTGTGTTCACAGTATCTCCACCTTTGTAATGTAACATTGATGCATTTCTTTTGGTAGGACTATGGCTGCCAACATGGGGTCGATGCGTATCCTCATCAAGGGAGGGAAGGTGGTCAACGATGACTTCACCCAGGAAGCAGATGTCTACATCGAGAACGGCATCATTCAGCAGGTACACCACATTCACTCACCAATGCATTCACATCTACACGTATGTACATCCTTTATTTGTCTTGACAGTTAACTGTCTTTCATGCACACACACACACACACACACACACACACACACTCTCTCTCTCTCTTCAGTTTATCCCCAGCTGTTACTAGTGTGACTCATTTCACAATAATACAGTATGAAGAGAATGAGCTCCGTGGCTCCACATGATGATAGTGAATGCTAAAATTAGCTCACAGAATGTTGTCATGGAAATAAGCATCGGTTCATGTAAAGAGGATGCATTTGACTCAGGAACCTGGGATGCTCATCTGTACTTCTACAACAACACTCTCACACACTTTGTTGAGGCTTATGGAGCGCTGCAAGAATGGGTCCTAAAACCTGGAAATGAGTCAGCATTTCTGCACATCCGGTTCTCTTGACTCAAGATGTTTTCTATGATATAAAATATGTCCGTGAAAACCTCTCCTGTGAATTTTGAAGCTTTTAAGTCTCTAAAAAAGACGGTTGCGATCAGTTGGCCAAATTAGACTTAATTAGACATCATCACAGTGACTAATGTGCTTTTAGCCGTGTGACAATGCTAACATGCTGATGCTAACGTTCACCATCTTAGTTTAGCATGTTAGCATGCCAGCATTTGCTCCTTGCTCCAAACAAAAAGTACGGTTGAAAGTCATTGGTTTTGCAGGTATTTGGTCCTAAATGTGTCGGACAAATTCCAATTTTGACCAGATGTTGGCGTTAGACGAACGTTAAGGGATCCTAAAAGTTATAACTATTCATCCTGAGGAGATTCATGTGTGTATTAGATTTCATGACAGTTTATCCCATACTTGGCGGTTAGTTCATCTACCCAGTAAATGTTGAGATATTGCACTTGATAAGTGAAATGTTGGGGAGTCAGGGGAGCACCAAAACCAATAGAATGTATCCGCTGGGCACCATGAATGTCTAATAAACAGAATCAAGCACTTGTTTGATGATCTGGTCCCAACCAGTGAACCATTGATTGTCCCTCTTTAATATGACCACTCAGTCTCTGTTCTCTACATTAAAACCACATTAACCCAAACACTAATGTCCTTACTAGCCCTTAATAGTCATTATATGTCATAAAGTTGTGAAATGTGTCTGCTCGTGTTCTCGTAGGTTGGAAAGGAGCTGATGATACCGGGCGGGGCCAAGGTGATTGACGCCTCTGGAAAGCTTGTGTTGCCGGGCGGAATAGACACCAGCGTGCATCTGCAGGACACTTTCATGAACGCCAGCATTCAGGATGACTTCTACAGTGGGACCAAGGTACACACACACACACGCACACACACACACACACATACACACAGGACTGTTATGACGAGGCTCTTCAGCATGCCTGTGATTTAACACATTTAGAAACCAGAGAGACAGCTGTCACACTCTCTCTCTCTCTCTCTCTCTCTCTCTCTCTCTCTCTCTCTCTCTCTTGTCTACATGCAGATCCTCACCCTGCATTTGGCTTCATACGTTCATCCAGACTAATGACAACATGTGTTCTCACACTGGTCCTATAGGAAGCAAACAGCTGTCACACGTTTCTGGTTGAATGCAAAGGCTTCACTTTTTTTTCTTCACACACAGCTGTTTGGTCTTTAATTCATACGGGGTTTATTAGTTAATTTCCTGCAGGATGCTCTGCGTGTTTTACACTCAGACTCAGAGCAGAGAGGATGATTAATTAATTAGGAGACTTGGAGAGGAGAGGAATTGTTGCCGGCGGTGTTATGTGTTGGAGGATACTGTGGGCTGTTTTTGCTGTTGTTTATCTCTGGGGGGGGTTAGGGTTAAGGGTGTGAACTGGGAGTACATCGGTGTGGCAGTCGCTGTGCATAATGTAACCTGTGAGCAATGATCCAACACATTGACAGACGTCCATTTTGTAGCCTTGTCAAATAACTTTTTGTGCATTCACGACCAACATTGCTTCTAATGTGATTATCTTGTTGAGCTACTCCTCATTCATCTATTCATCACAGTCACAAAATGATCATTGCACCAATCGGTGCCCAGAAGATGACTTAGTTAACTTTATTTGAGAGGATGGAAAGTGTCCGCATGGTGCTTGGACTTCAATTTTGTAATACCGACTGAACACGTTTGAAATATAATTGTAATCCTATATTGAGATTTGTATATGTAGGCAAAGTAAGGCAATTATTTCCCACAAATCTTAGCTCCAGGCCTGCTGTGGTGTTAGTTTAATACAAGCTCAAACATCAGCCTCAGATTATTCTTACATAAAGATGAGAAAGAAATATGTTGTTTCTTGATAGTTTCATAGTTGTTTTTTCCAATATGTCAGATAGAGAAATGTAAGCCACCAAGAAAATTTAACTCTAAATGGAAAATGTGACTTTGCTCATTCTGTGTTAGATATTACATAGGTTCTGTGTTTTGCATAAAGTGGCTGTATATTTATCATGTACTTTGGCTAAATACATAAGCAATTGGCAGTTCATTGCAACCATTAAAATCTACTGTCACCAAATATGTCTCTTGCCTCGTACCCCTTATACAGTTTGTTGGGACACTATTGTTATTGTTCTTTTTTATTCATTATTTAACATGTATGCATTGTTACACATGTATACGTCTGTTGTATATGACTGTGTATCCTTTGACATATTAAGTGCAAGAGTATATAAGTATGTGTAGAGTATGGAGGCTATTCTATACCGTATATGACAAGTGAAACCATTCAAAGTGATTTAATGCTAACGATGTACAGTAGTGGTGTATGCCAGTGCTCCTCAGAAACATCCATTTAGTTCATGAGCTTTGAGTCATAATGTGGAAACAACATGGATGCTGTTAATTGGCAAGTTGTGTACCAACATTTTTGTATTTTGTGATATTTATACCACACGAATGCAGCATAAGATAAGAATTGCGGCTCTTGTAACTTTTTAAAATTGTGATTACATTTTTACACGGTTGTTATTAACATCAGCTAGACTAGATCTTGTGGTAAACAATATGACCTACAGGGAGTTTGCGGTGCAGAATCTCAGTGAACTGAAGTCTGAGTCTGATGGAATGCCAACTGAAGTCGGGTGAGAGGAATTTGGGGGATTGAATCGTCCGTATGCAGCAACCCCTACCCACTGACCCTGCTCCCATGGCAACTAGCCCCCCCTGCTCTATGTGAGGAAATCAGAGGGAGCAAGTGTGTGTGTGTGTGTGTGTGTGTGTGTGTGTGTGCACGCATAAACATGGCAGTATTGTGAGGTCTCTATGGTGACTGCGTTGCCCAAAACTATTTCTCTCCGCATCGTCTTCCCCCCCTCCTAACCCTTTGTAACACTGTGCTACCTCTCATGCTTTCCTTCCATCTTTCTCTCTTCCCTCCCCCCAAACTGTTTCCTCTGCCTCACCCCCCCTCAGGCTCCCCTCTGGTACAGACTCACACTGACCTGCAGCAGGAGGACGATGTAAATATATAGCAGACTGGTAGAAGTAGTACTGCAGTGTAGGTTTATACATACATGTACAGGTATTGAGCTGTATTGTATCACACAGAGCTCAGATTTACACACTAACAAAGCATTTCCCCAAGTACAGGTTTTATTCAATATAAAGGTAATTTAAAAACTAAATGTCGGCTGATTTTAAGCCAGTATTTGCCCTGTGTTTACAAGTACAGAGAACAGATCTCCTACCTGACAGGGCAGATGAGTGTTTTAGTATTTTTAAAGTATTATTTCCTTCAGTAATCAAGCTAAAATAAACAAGTTTGATATATGTTCAGTGGTACGTTACGACTAGAATGTAACTTAAGAAGTAATAAACTCAGTGAACCAGAACAAATTGCTGGTTTTTGGATTTGTTCCCCAGTTGCACAGCTAGCAACTAACTACTCAACAGAGGAACTAACGTCAATGCAAACATATGAATAGAAGCTACCGGTGACAGCATCTTCCCCCAACTGGACAGGATCAGATCTGATTTGTCTATAAAGGACAAATATTCAGCTAAAATGGCACACCAGCTCTGTATATCTCCCAGCATGCACTGCAGATATCATTGCAATGCCTCTGCAGGCAGGGGAGGCGAGGAGGAGGAGGAGGATGAAAGGTGTTCAGCTGTAATGTGGAGTATGAGCGGTGCTGATACAGGCTGATCAGAGAGCTGCAGTGGTAATCTGTCTGACACTGATAGCCTCTCCCACAGCCCAGCATACAAAGATCTTCTCATCCTCTCAGATCCCCCCCCCCCCCCCCCCTGTCAGTTTCACTTTCTTCTCCCGGGGATTATCTTCACAGTAGGGGGTCGGGGGTCTTTGATAGACTGGGGGATTCATGATAAAAACATTGTTTGGGGTTTATGTGTCACCATCCACTTTAGCTATACGCTGTAACACGTTTAAGGAACCAAAGAGGGGAGTATGTCGGGTTTACTGTGGCTTGACAAGAGAGCTATTAGATATACTGTATATGATGATGTAGTGCGTCATAATAGGATAACCGAATCATCTACACCACATGTATATAAATGTGTGTGTTTACTTACATGATGGTCTGTTTGAAGACAACAATAAATCTGTGTTTCTGTCAGCTTACATAGCCATCGCCGCAGCTGCGAAATAACGTGGGAAAATCATTAAAGAGCATTATTATGGCTGTTGACATTCATCACAACACACAGTTAATGTTTATACTAACACATGTCGTTTATATCAAGTAGTAAGTAAAGATACATCCAAGATGTCTTGTGAAATCAGATTCTTATGGTTATGATTATAGTAATTTGGCCAAATTTGGTATTTTCAGAAATGTTGGAATTTCATCTTGTCTGGAATTTTAAAATATTAATTCTGTTGGTAAGAACAAACCTGTGAGGATGGATTTGGGGTGTAAAGAATAACTGAGGTTAGTACAAATCTAAAAACAGCCTTCTAGTTCATGCTGGTTTCTACGCTGGTCTGTCGGATGACAGCTTCATTTTGCTCAACACCAGTTACAAACCGTTTCATCAGAACACTGACTGCTTATGTATTATGAACTGCGGGCACTCGTATTTTGGTACGTCTTTGATCTCCTTAGCAGATTTGTAATGTCGAACAGTCTAAATTTGGATGCCGATGATGACTAGTTACAGATGAAGCTTAAAGAGGAAACGGGACAGAATGAAAGACATGTCATCCTGCAGACAGTTTGCAAGTCTGCTACTGTAACACTCACACTGACAACTTTTCTTCTTTTACCTCTTCTCTTACTCTCTCTCGCTCTTTTTCTGCCAGTAAAATCCCTTTTTTTGAGAAGTGTACTGGCAGTAAATTTTAATCAAGGCCGTGTAGACAGACAGTGTAAATCCCACAATCCCCAGATGTGTCCACGTACCCTGATTTCTCTCTCTCACACACACACACACACCTACACACACACTGACAGTGATATATGATAATCTTAATGCACACACACATGCAGAGACCTTCGATGCTGACGCTGCAGATGATTTGGACTGGTTACTATGGTAATAGGAAACCTGATGTCAGTTGGCTGGTGGAGCTGTCACTCAAAAGCAGATGACCCCGCCCCTGTCTGAGACGTGTCTGGAGCGGGGTGGAACGGCTCCACGCCGACACGTGAACCAGGGTCGTGTTCACATTTAGTTACATTTCATGCAGGCAGTGTTGTAGAAATGATACAGAACTATGATGATTATTGCCTGTTTTCCCATAATTCCTCGGTGCAATATCCCTGTTCGACTCTGTTCCAGGATATTGAATGGTTGAGGAAGAGGAGGAGGAGGAGGTGGAGGGTGGGGACATGCGACAGGCATGGCTGAGCAGTATCTGTTGTCATGGCGACACAAAAGTGCATTTACCATTCAGCAAACTGAGACGAGTCGCTGCAGACCAACTCCCTTCACTTCATCAGTCATCCATCTCTCTTCTCTTCCTTCCCTCCTGTCTTCATCAGGCGCTTCTCTTCCTCTTCTGTTCCTTTTCATGTTTCCTGTTCATCTCCTCAAATCTGCTTAACGACTCATATTCACAAAGCTTAAGATTGTTTTTGTTTTCATGGAGTTGGGCTCTCCTTCGTTACTCTTTCCTAATATCTTCTTCTCCTAACCCCTTAGTTTGCAAGGTATTTGTAGGTTTATCTAGAGGGGGCAAATGAACAACATAAGAAAACAAACCAAAACAAACGTTATTATCAGTTGTTTGGATTTTAAATGAGATGCACACTGAACAGACGGTACATGAATCATGTATATTGTCCTAGAAAGCAAAATGGAAAAGTCAAGTAGTTAAGACTTTGGATCTACAGATGTCTGTGCAGATAAATGTAAACTTGATTGAGGGGAATTTGCAATTGTGTGCAAGAAAAAGGTTGATTTTTACATTCAAGAGAACATTTTATCAGAGTCTAAGTGGTTAATGAGTTTTTGTTTGCCAAACATTTGGTTCAATCCACATGAGATTTCAAGGATATGCTATTCATGAAACATCAGTACAACAAGTCTGTCTTTGTGCATCATCTACGTTTAAAAAACAACCAAACAATGTACACAACTAGTAACAAGCAGACTTCATGACGATGAGAAAACAGTTCATGAGGAAGAACTGTTGCTCATTGTCACCAGGACAAACAGTGACTCTGTGCTTTACAGTGGAATCATTGTTCTCGCCTTTAAGCAATTTCTCTTTTTTTTTTTACTTCCTCTGCCTCCCATTTTTCTGTCTCCCTCCTTCCATTCCATCCTTCCTTCCTCACCTCTCCTCACCCTCTCTCCTCACCCAGGCGGCTCTGATGGGCGGTACCACCATGGTGATGGCCCTGGTCCTGCCTGAACAGCACTGCTCCCTGCTGGACGCCTACGAGAATTGCCGAGCTCTGGCCGACGCCAAGGCATGCTGCGACTACGCCCTGCACGTCGGGGTGACTTGGTGGGGGCCGAAGGTAAGACCCAGAGAGGGGGGTCCACATGTGAACAGCATGGAAACACTTATATCTTTTACAAACAGACATCATTCTTTCCCCTTATGCTCCTCAAGTTTTATTCTCGCTGAATGATTAATAACGCAGCCATAGCGTTTTTCATTCATGTGTGAAATGACCTAGATTAAACCTTACATGAACTAGGTCACCGCACATGCTCACTGGGCACATTAGGCAGATTCTATGAGTCAACGTGCCTCATTCAGCCTTTGGCTGTAATATCTGTGCTGTATCTTGTGCACGCGCCACGTCTTATTATATATAGTCAAATGTTTAATGCCAGAAAATCTATGATGTTTTCAAATGTCGATCAAAACCTAAATGTATTGAGTTTACAATGTGTTACTGATCTTTTATGATATGGATTTACATCATTATTTTCAGAAAAACATGTTTCATATCCTGACTTGGACAAGTGTTACAAGAAATCAACTAGTTGGTTCTAAGGGATATCACCCTTTATTTGAATTTTGATGACCGATTCCACTGCAGTCGAGTTTGAATATTTTATCTGCACAATATCTTGAGTTTCTGTTTACTGTTTTTTGAGTGAGTAGTATAGATTTTTCTATGTAGTGAATGTCTATGTGGGACTTCTGATATTCACCAATGTGAATGCAATGTGATCTCATTCTGGCTGCAACCCAAAAGCTCATTTCACGCCTCATATAACAAACACACACCAACACAGTTTCTTATTCCCTCCACGCCCACATTTCACTGGCTGATGCTCTTCACTGTCTGCCTTTTGCCAGTTATACAGAACCAAAACTCTCTCTTTGGCCCCTTACCTTTGTCCTGGGATCAGGTGCGTAGCGAGATGGAGACCCTGGTGAGGGAGCACGGAGTGAACTCTTTCCAGATGTTCATGGCCTACAAAGACACGATGATGCTGAGGGACTCGGAGCTCTACCAGACGCTGCAGACCTGCAAAGACATCGGGGCCATCGCTCGTGTCCACGCCGAGAACGGAGAGCTGGTGGCAGAGGTGCACATCACATAACTTCAACACATTCCTCTGTTTTCCTTTTAATGAGAGATGTCCAGCACAGGGAAAATACTGTTTTTTCTGTCATTGCAGAATTTTTTATGCTGGACATTAGCTAGTTTGCACATTTTAGTAGTAGACTCTTTAATCACCTGTATGTGTGGAGTTTTTAAATATTAAAGAAACAATTACAGAATGAATTGAACCTATGTTGAAGTGTGTGTGTGTGTGTGTGTGTGTGTGTGTGTGTGTGTGTGTGTGTGTTTGTGTATTTAGGGTGCCAAAGAGGCTCTGGGTTTAGGCATCAATGGACCGGAGGGTATTGAGATAAGTCGACCAGAGGAGGTAAATTAGAGGTTATTCCTCATCACTCATTTCCATTTAGATATTGTCCTTCTAAAGTTACTTGAACAGTTTGGATTTGATGCTTTTTTTCGATTTCTTTTTTTCTTTCTGTACGTTTAAAATGATGACAATAAAAACTATTTAAGGGTATTAACGTAACGAACACACACATATTGAATTTTTTTTAATAGAAGTTCATGACAAAGACCTGAAATATACATTTCTATTGAGTACTTATTGAAGTTGTCCGTCTTATTGTCTACAGCTGGAGTCTGAGGCTACTCACAGAGCCATCACCATCGCCAACAGGGTAAACAGACGCAAAAAACTGATTTTAATATCCTGTCTGTGTGCATGTGTCTGCATGTCACTGATTAAATCAATGAATTCTCTTGTGATTGCAGGCTCACTGCCCGATCTACCTTGTGAATGTGTCCAGTATGTCTGCTGGGGACATGATTGCTGCTGCTAAGATGCAAGGTGAGTCGAATTAAAAGACACTAGCATGAAGATTCTGACAGTGGTGATGATAGAATGGTCTTTTTGTAACAAACTGCTTTTTGTTCTCTCTCTTTCTTTCTTTGTCTCTGCAGGTAAGGTGGTCCACGCAGAGACCACAGTAGGTCACGCTGTGCTGAACGGGATGCAGTATTACCATCAGGACTGGGTTCATGCCGCCGCCCACGTCGTCGTCCCTCCTCTCCGCCTCGACCCCAACACGCCCAGCTACCTCATGGGCCTGCTGGGCAAGTATGTGCTCACTACAGACTGGAACGTGTTCCTAAAATACAGCACTGACAATCAGAGACATGTGATCATTTAGACTGATGACATTCATCTTGTTTCCAGTGACTCTCTGAGTGTCGTGGCGTCAGAGCACCGTCCATTTAGCATGAAGCAGAGAGCTTTGGGCAAGGACGACTTCACAAAGATCCCTCATGGAGTGGCTGGAGTCCAGGACAGGATGAGTGTCATTTGGGAGAGGGGAGTGGTACGTACACACACACAGACACGGACACACAGGCACACATACACACATTACCAAGCTTGTGTGTATTATGTAGCATGCATCGTAGTGACAGTAACAGGAAGAGTCAATGTTCATCGCTTCAGGTTTTGTTGCAGAGTAGCAGGTTCAGCTACTTTTAGGTAAAATATTGTATTCAATATTATTAATATTAAAACAGCCTTGGAAACTCTTCTGAATTCACCTCATAAAACTGTGTAGGTTGTGATTTTGTAAAGTAATACACATTACAACCATAGACGACTATGGACATCTTCAGCTTTGAATTTGGTGCTTTACTTTTTTAAGTGTCAATTTGTGTTTGCACTGGCTTATGTTTAATGCATTAATTTAATAATAACCTGAAAAAATAAAGTACACACATCTAAACCAAGCACAGCAAAATTATCTTCCAAAGAATCCTTTGACGTTAAGTCAAATTCACAGATTAATAACAAAATGTTAGTTGTATTTTGCCTCACATGATTTTAATACATGAATGCCTGCAGGTTACAGGGAAAATGGATGAGAATCGTTTTGTGGCAGTGACGAGCTCTAACGCTGCTAAGATCTACAACATGTACCCACGCAAGGGTCGCATCATCCCCGGGGCTGATGCTGATTTGGTGGTCTGGGACCCGGACGCAACAAGGTACGCAGTTATATTCCCAACACGACGATGGGGCTCACAGCCCGTCACCATTGCTTCTTGATTCATTTAGTGTCCTGTCTGCGCAGGACGATCTCCGTGAGCACTCAGGTGCAGGGCGGAGACTTCAACCTGTACGAGGGGATGCGCTGCCACGGGGTTCCGCTGGTCACCATCAGCCGCGGACGTCTGGTGTGTGAGAACGGGGTGTTCATGTGTGCCGAGGGATCCGGAAAGTTCTACCCTCAGCGCACCTTCCCCGACTACCTCTACAAGAAGATGGTGCAGAGAGAAAAGGTGTGTCACACTAAGTAGTTCTGACACCAGGACTCGTGCAGGGCTTTGCTGTGTTAGCTGGCAGCCACACCTACTACAAACACACCCATCCTACTGTTTCTAACTGCGCTGGTTTGGCAGTCTATATAAAGGATTTAATGCTCCTGCTCTGTCTGTTCGCTGACACCGTGTTTCTGCTGCTGCTGTCGGCAAAAAAGCCTCTGCAGCGTTTCTGCTCTGTTTTAACGACCCTGATGGTTTATACTGCTAATTTTATGGGAATTACTTTTCTATGCTTTCTGTATATTATATATACCATATGTAAAGTTATTTATATATCCCAGAAGTATAAATTTGTCTCATCCCATGTTTTTATACGGAATTTATCACTGGTTATGATAGTGAAATTAAATTATTTTATGTAGTTTTCTTGGTTTTACATTGAGAGCTGTGCTCTCTGTTTGATAGCCATGTTTAAAGTAAACTTTGGGTATTTCACAACAGATAATGTGACACATTTGTGAGCACATGAACAGAATATCTGGGTCAGCTTAAAATAGTCTGCTCCTTTTAAAAAATATGGATATTTTCAGAATCTGTAAAAGCCCAAAACCATGAGCTTTAATCTACTCTTAAGGATGCTCTTCAAGATTAGAACCAAAACTGTCAGATAAACATGTTGTCATCTCAATGTGCAACTCTTGATGAGAGTGTTATAAATATTATTATTGTATCTATTACTTAATACCCTCTCTAGCTAATAACACCAGATGATAAAGTGTGTGTTCACATGCCTTCATGAAGAGGACATTTCAATTTTAGATCCAATTTTAGTTAAACTTTTGCTACAACTAGCATTAATTAAATGGTTAAAAATCACCATCCCAAGCCTGTACTTCATGTGTATTGTATTTACATTTGACCTTTCACCTCCTCCCTCTCTGCTTCAGACTCAGGCTTACAAAGGGGTCAACAGGGATGCCTACTGTGGTGACGTGGCCAAGGTGGCAAACACCATGAAGAAGGAGCTTGGTTTGGGCCCAATAGACGGAGAGGCGGCCAACAAAGGCTGTCCTCGCTCGCAGCAGGGAGTCCGAGACCTCCATGAGTCCTCCTTTAGCCTCTCAGGTAGGCTGGAATAAAGCTTATAACACTGTGGTTGTTTAGTAAAAATCTTTAAAACTGTAGTTTTTGTTTATTTTTATGTTCTGTTCTTCTCTCAGGGTCTCAGGTCGATGACCACATCCCGAAGAGGTCCTCGGCCCGGATCCTGGCCCCTCCCGGCGGTCGCTCCAGTGGTATCTGGTAATCGCTGCTGCCGGAGCTACGCCCGTCCGAGTCTCCTTGTTTTGTATAATTCTACGCAACCAGGAAAACTGCACTGATTTCTTAATCACAGGATAAAAGTTAAGGGAGGAATATAAATTGAAGCATGTTTCTGTGATTGGTGAAGACCTAACTGATGATCAGTGATCTACCAAAGTGACTTTCACGAATCTAATTTGTCTTAATTGGAGTGACTGACCCGAATAACTACACAAGAGGGAAGGGCTATCTATGAATTTAAAACGGTTCGCTAAATTCAAGCTGATCATACTAACATCGACAGAGTCTGCTCATTACCACCCTGCTCGTATCCCACAGAGAAACGCAAATTAAACAAACTGTGAAAGATCAAAACCAGTACAGTTTTTATGGTTTGAACTGAAGTGATGTCGAATGAATTATTTAAAAATAGTGGAACTGAAATCCGTGAAATATCTATTATACCCCCGTCTCACACACACACACATCCAGTGCACTGTAGTCAACATAGCGTTACACTCATATGAAGACGTGTGTGGATTCTGTTTGTGATTAAACACCCACTGTGCTCGGCTTCCTGCTGCACCGTGGGTTCCTCTGACTGTTTTTATTTCCAATGGGTGAACTGTGTGGTGATGAAATCCAACTGCTTCAAAACACTGTGTGATTTTTACAGCTACACTCTGTAAATAGAGTCAGACTTGAATCTTTCCATCCTTATATGTTCACTGCCTCTAACTGAAACAACACTCACATTTCCCAGAGATATCCTGCCTCACCTGCATTGTAGCAGTCTATAGACTCAGTTACAGAAGTTAAACAAGCTGTGGGCTGACCTGGGACTATAACTGCTCCCAGTACTGATCCCACGACAGCTAAATGTAGTCATTCCTGTCGTGGAAACGTGGTATCTATAGACCTAGCAAAGTGCTAGAAGACTGAAGAGAAGTTTGTTAAAGGAAGGATGAAGAGTACGTGACTTAAAGATCACAGTGGGGAAAGAGGAAAAGCTTTCTGTTACTTTGCGGCTGATAATGCAGAACATCAGAATACAGCTTAATGTAATTTACATCAATAAAAACCATACATCACCCAAAAACAAGGGCTGCTGAAAACACCAGGGGCCTCATTTATCAAAACTTGTATAAAACAAGTGTAAGTCTGGGAAAGAGTGATTTTAACAAAAATTGCTATTTTGGTTCACTCTAGCTGCTCTGTTTCTAGCAATAACGCTCTGATAAACTCATTGTACGCTGCTCCTCCAGCACCAAACGCCAGACAGAAAAAAGTTACCAACTAGCCAGAGATTAAGCTGATTAATGAGGCCTCAGATTGTGCGTAGAAACTGAAAATGATATTAAGTTGTTGAGTTTCAGTAGCATGTTGTGGGCTGTGTTTTGAAAGTAAAATGTCTGTTAATAAGGAAATAAAAAGGGATTTATTGTTGTTAGAGCAGTTGGTCTCCACAGAGCAGGAAGATTGAGCTGCACAGTCTGAAGAAAACCACTGAACCTCTCACCTCCTGATGTCGTCTCATTCCTGCTATCAGTATTATATTTATACATGAACACGTCTTCTTGTCTGTGAACTATATATTTAGGATCTTTGTTTGTTTAGTTTTTTTCAGCTGAAAGAATAAATGTGCCCCCCCCCCACCCCACCCCACCCCCACCCATGCATGAAGAGCACCGTGTGGAGATAGAGGAGTGAAATCTCTCCACAAGCTCACAACAACTGGTGCTGTTTTTTGTAACTATTGCCTACAACAACGTTATTTTAATGTTGGATGGATTTGTCGCTTCGAAGGCACTGTGACTGCTTGGTGGCTGTGTGTGTGTTTGTAGATTATTGTCGTGTTGGACAGTGAACCTGTTGAATCTGTAAGTGGCTGCTTGTTTCTTACCACACCATTAACAAAAAAAGAATAAAGTGAGAAAACATCTTGGTTCCTATGAGTCACCTTTTTATTTCTGAAATGCCTCAAAAGATTTGTGGTCACAGTTGTATTATGTTAACAAAAAGTACAATTTAGCAAAAGATGAATTCAGTAATTGATATGAACTAGAAAAAGCACAATAAGACGATATCAAACTATTCATACTGAAGGAAAATATGTCTGACATACAGACAAAACAAAACAATATCATGTAAGAATATACAAAGTACAGATGAGGACGCAGCTGAAACACATGCAGAAAAGTGCAGGGTACAAATGACAATATTGCAAATTTAATTAAATTAAAAGCAATGAAAGGTGCATCTGTGTTTTGTTGCAGATTGCAATAAAATAAATATTAAGTGTGACAGGAAAACAGCAGAAATCTTTCTAAAGTGCAGATCTACATGGATATGACCAAAAATAAAAGCAGAGAGTTAACATAACAGAAAAATAAATACAATAATAATAATCATCATTATAATCACAATAATGATAAAAAATAATGATAATAATACAAATGTTGCTGTGGTGCCCTACTGTGCTTATATAATATTCTGTAATACTTTGAAAGGAGTCATTCTTTAAACACGTGTACTTCACTTAAGTAAAAGTACAAAAGTTAGAAGCAAAATATACTTAAAGTATCAAAGTAAAACTACACTTTAGGCAGAATGCAAACATTGCGTTATTATTATATATAGCATTTATTATTATTATTACTGAATTGGAGAACATTTGACCTGCTCTATATACTGTTACAGAGCTTAACTATGGCACAGTATCGTCTTTTATAATTGATAATATGTTTTTTTGTAAAATCCTAATCTGTGTAGTAACTTCAGCTGTTAGATAAATATAGAGGTGTAAAAAGTTTCCCTTGAGATGTAGTGGATGAGAAGTGTAAAATAGCAGAACATTTTGATTCTCAAGTAAGTAAAAGTACCTCCAAATTCTACTTAAATACAGTACTTGGGTGCAGTATTGTTATACTTTGGTAATTAAAGGATCTGAATACTTACACTAGCTAAAGTTAATCTTCAAACATGGGTTTAGTCGTATTTTTTGTCTCCATCATGGCCGTCCATGGGAACACCAGTTGCAATGAAATGGATGTGAAAATCCGGCAACTGCTCTGCGCATGCGTACTGCCCCAGCGGTTTAGGTGTGAGAGCAGTCTCGCGTAACTTCGCCGAGGAAACAGTTGGTTTATAGCAACAGTAAAGCCCATCACCAGACACAACGGGACGAGAGAGGAGCACTGTCGCACTTCAGTGAGTAATATTAACTCAACCTAACTCACAATGGGCTTCTTTACGCATGAAAACGGTTTATTTAACGGCTAGTTTCATTTACGTCTCACGTAAATACTTGTGTCGTTCCCGTATCTGACAGTTATTCTGCCGTTGACAATGTGCGTGTGTTATCTAAAAGGCCTTAACGTGAGGCTGAAAACAAAACCGTCTTAGTTACACGAGGGGATATATTTAGTTCGCTAACATCACTGCGGTGGAATTAAATCAGGTGGGAACTCTCTAAATTCAACAGAAACCATCCACGCGCAGCAAACGTTAGCGGTGTTAGCTAGGAGCTAACGTACTGTCGCACGGTGACTGTCGCACTTACCGAGGCTGTAACGTCAACTGTCACAAACACGGACCGGTGGCGCCGATCCGAACCGGGCTGTGACGTTAGACGTTAGGCTTAGAACGCACGAGGGTTTACCTGAGTTATTACGTACTTTTATAAAGGTGTATATAAGTCGTACAACGTACAATAGCTGTCAACAGGAGGTAAATTAACTGGTGGTCAGATTTCCTTTATTTTATAATAAGATAAACAATCAAGTAAATGAGGCTCACTAAAAACTACTGCATTACTTTTACTTATTATAATTATATTCATCCTACATGCTCATTTTGTAATCTGAAATAGGAATTAAACCTGTTTTTGTAACTGCTGATACAATAATTACAACATTCTGACATTATATCTAATATGATGGACGTAATGTCTAATACGATGGACATATCCTAATCATTGAACATTTTGAATCAACCAAATACACTTAACGTTACTTGATTTTATATTGTATACATATAACTACATGCAACTCACCCAGAAGCAACTTGAGATATGATCTTACCTAAACATTGTTTGTATTTTTTGCCATTTGTGTATTTGATATCTATTTATTTATATTTTCACATTTGCACTCTTGCCTATTTCGTTCTGCAACTGCTGCACAACAATTCCCCTCAGGATAGATGGTAAATGAAGAGTAAAATGCAACAAAATATTTTGAAGATCTGGGGAAAGTTGGGAAAGTCCAGGTTTAGGTTTTTACATACTGATGTAATTTAAAATAAGTTAACAGCGAGTTGCTATTGGTTGTAGTGGCCCTGATGCTCTGTTAATTTGCTATTAATAGCATGTTTGTCTTCCACATATCTAAAGAGGTCTCACTGACTGGATAGCTATTTATATTACTGTGTGTGCTGTTAGCTTCATATGTGGAAGCAAAATAAACTCTGAAATAAACCGTTTTGTATCCATTTTGGAATCTTAAGCCAACAAATTAGTCAAAGTAGATTTCTGGGGTGAAAGGACACAGCGGCATTAACCGGCACATGCACCAGCAGCATTTGCCTGGTAGACAGTGTTGATTTGAATGCAGGAAATGCTTTGTTATTGTTGGATTGTTCCTGGTCTCGAGCTGTCAGCGGGATGAATCGTAGCTGTGTTACATGTTTATGCCGGTTGGATCCTCCTGCTGGGGATCTCGGCTGCCTTCGTGCACTACGGTGGGTTACTGCATTTTTTCGCCCTGGGCTAAACGGATTAACTGTTGCAGAGATTAGTGACCTAGTGAGTGAACTAGTGACCGGCTGCATGTTCATCTGTGGTGTTTCTCTTTGTGACCATGCGGGGGAGCTCTTGTGAAGGACTCTAAACCGGTGTGACTGTACAGTTTCAGATTTGTCAGATTCAATAAGTAACTTTTAAAGCATGATTGTTTTCATGGTGCAGTGTGAATGCTACAGCGTCACTGATATCTCACAGGATAGGTGTTTCTGTCCGCAGGTCTTTCTGTAAGGGGGTCCACCACAACCAGATTTGAACAGTTCACACCAAACACACACACAGCGTAGGTGAGTGAAGTGTGTGTGTGTTTGCTTTCTTTTATTTGTTTATTGCCTGGCGATAAAGCAAGCAAGCAAGCAAATCTCACATATTACTAAGACGCCTAGTCATGATGATAATAATAATAAACTTTATTTTTACTGCACTTTTTAAAGCAAAGGTTGAACCAGGAATAAAATGTTTCAGGACTGCAAATAAGACAAATAAAATCAGACGATATCAAAATTATACACAAATACAATGGAATGAAATGGTGTGGATTTTGGCAGTCGATTAAATGGTTTATATGATATGATTTTAATGAAAAAAATTCTATTCTTTAAGTATATTTCCATCTTAAATAAAAGATTTATTGGAATCAGGTTTATTTTGTAAAAAATAACTCTCCTGTCGCATTTTACCAATTATTTATATTATTTGTTGATGTTTTATTGTCAGATAAAAACATGAAATGATTTGTGTCACGTTATGACCACATCTTTAGTAATGCTACAGCACAGAGTTGGAAACTTTCCTTTAATTCATTCTGCTCTGTAAGAGACGACTCTGCTCATCCCATTACAGCCGGGATTCTGGAATAACATTTGTTTTTTGTAAATTGTATCCTTCACTCACTCTGGAGGAAAAGTTAAGTTAAGATAAGATAATCCTTTACTGATACAGAGAGATGGAGACAAAAACAGAAGTAATTGTCAGAAGTGGGATGAAAACACATTCCTCCAGGGGAGACTGTGACCTGAACATAGAGCCTTTAGACCGCTCGGCCTTCTCTGGCCTCTCTTCACTTTCAACATGAACAAATACAAAAGGTGCAAGAACTTGAAGATGGAGACATGCTGCACAAATATGCCGAAAGAATGATCAAACAACAAAGAATCAAAAGCATTTTGTTTTGGCTGTAAAAATCACCCCCTTTTACATGGATATCCCATCAGTTTTGATGGTAGATGTAGACGATGAAGCAATAAATTCCTCAGTGCGTGCTATATTTGACAGGATAGCTGAGATCTCCTGCTGGCGGAGTGCCTACATGTACCTAGAATGCAAGAAGAACAACCGATTTAGCAGCTCTCTCGTCAGTTTAGAACGCACTGAGGAATTTGGGGCTTCAATGGACTACATTTACCGTCAACACTGATTGGACATCCACATAAAAGGTGGCAACAGTTTCCCTTTAGATTAAATTGTAATTTGTTTCTGTTTTTTTTTAATCTGAATATAGTAGTTGTGTACATTAATCGAACTGGTGACTATACGTATTTATCATTCAGCTGTTGATATGCATGTGCTAATGTGTGTCTTTGTGAATCAGGAGGATGGCGTTGAATGTTTACTCCACCTCTATGACTGTAGAGAACCTGAGTCGTCATGACATGTTGGCATGGGTCAACGACTCTCTGCAGCTCACACACACAAAGATTGAGCAGCTCTGTTCGGGTAAACATACACACACTTTTTCTTTTTGAATGTTGTTTGTAATTCAATTCAAAATGTGCATCAAGCTCTAAAAGTAAATAATTTTTTCCTCCATAGGTTCCGCTTACTGTCAGTTCATGGACATGCTGTTTCCAGGGTGCATATTAATGAAGAAAGTTAAGTTCAATGCGAAACTGGAACATGAATACATCAACAACTTCAAGGTCTTACAGGCTTCATTCAAGAGAATGAATGTGGACAAGGTGAGAGCACACACACACTCATTAACATGCACACAGTCAGACGAGATTCGATTAAACAAAATGTCCCCCTGGGTTAACAGAGTTGTTGAAATATGTAAGTTGACAAAAGATAACATCTCTGATCAAAGACACCTCTGACCACATATACTGCATAATGTAGCTGTGGAGTTACAAAATAATTATTTTATCAACGCTTCACCTCTCTGTGCTCCTCTCCTCCTCTCAGATCATCTCCGTGGAGAGGCTGGTGAAGGGGAAGTTCCAGGACAACTTTGAGTTCCTTCAGTGGTTTAAGAAGTTTTTTGATGCCAACTATGATGGGAAAGAATACGACCCTCTCATGACACGGCAGGGCCAAGAGGGAACGCCGCCTCCACCCAACACCCAAGGTACACTAAACACACACGCACACACGCATGTGTCACTATCGGCTGTGTGTGAACCCAAAGGCTTCATTTCATTGCTGTCACCTCTTCATGCAAACATCCCAATCTCTAACACAGATGAACCCATTCGCCACAAACCTAAAAGACCCTCTCGCTCAGGTAACATGCCATGCATAGGACGTGTGTTTGTGTGTGCGTGTGTGCGTGGGGTGTGTGCTTGTCAATGCTTGCAGTGTGTCTAACCTTCATTCAAAATGTGAGTTACCTGGTTTATGGATTTGTGTATTCTTGCTGGTTGTGGGCCGTGTTGGGGGCAGCTACACAACAAGCACAATATACATTTTCTTTTAAAGTAGCTTCACACAATCTCTCGAGTTTTCTCGACATTGTCTCTCCAAAAGCAGCCCTTGTGCACTGAAGAAGGAAATGTAAAAGTTATCATCAACTGTCTGAAGCAGAGGTGCTCTCTCCAGGCTCTATATTAAGGGATGTGTGCCTAGTCGATGTCACACTGAACCCCAAGTTGCTCTCTGGGCGCTTTACAGCACTGCTCCTAAATTCTTAGGATGGGTTAAATGTAGATGACAAATTTCATGGCTGCACTTTATTTCAAACTGCTAGCAGTGATGGGCAGTTTTGACACTACAGGTGTTCTTAATAAAAATCAAAGCACACTGCAAAGACGTCCTATTGAGGTTGAATCTTTGTGTGTTTTTTAAATTTTGTACCTTCTTTAAGGCCTTGAGGCTGAGGAAACTTTTGCAAAGTGAGGACAATTTGACCCGCCCTCATCTCCTGAAGAGGGGCTTGTTGCCGGTTAGGACTTGGCTTTAGGGTTTTAAGGTTAGAAGCCAGTTAAGGTGATGGTTAGAGTTAAGGTGATGTTATTTTGCCACTGCAGATCAGCAGTACATCAACAATAGCTCTAAGTGTTTTGTCAGTGTCTTCACTGTGTTCAACAGAACTTGCAGCCCAAATGCAATCATGTAAGAAAATAAGGGAGACTTAAAGCATAAAAAGATGCGTTGGGTAAAATGTATGCTCATGTAATGCAAGTAAAGCTTGAGCTGTTACAAAGCCAGAGTAGTAGACGGCTGCATCTCAATCTGTTATCTCGAACCGACATCTCACAGCCGACTTAAAACAACACAGCCTAAACGCTTTCATCCAGACATTTGTAGCTATACCAACGTGTGTGTGTGTGTGTGTGTGTGTGTGTGTGTGTGTGTGTGTGTGTGTTTCTTCCAGGCCCCTTGAGAACATCCCCCACGACACCAAAGACTGTTTGCACCACCCAGAGGCAGATAAACCTAGCAGCAGGCCGCAAGACCGCTCCCGTGACCCGCAATGGAGGAGAATCTGAGCTCATAGAGCTCAACCAGCAGGTACCAGCTGCTTTCATCTGTTCAGCCATTTCTAAAAATACAAACACACCCTGTTGTTTCCTGTCATGGCATCGCACCGAGGTAGCAGCGCAGGGCTCGCATTAAACTGCGTGAATAATTGTACCCGTCAGTTAGGGCTGGGCGGTATGACCAAAAATGCGTATCACGGTATTTTGTAAGACTCTGGCGGTTTCACGGTACATCACGGTATTTTTTTT